CAGAAATTTGTTGGAAATATCAACCAATGTACTACCATTCTTTGCTAGCGCTTCACTGGAAATAGTTTACTGCTCGTAGTTGATTAACTTTTGTTGATTGGTTTATTAATTAATAGGATTAGTTAGATTATGTGTTTAAAATAAAAAATGAACTCGGAGACAATGATTTCCAATTAATTATCCTTTCTTTTTATTTTTATGAAAGAATAAATAAAGCTAACTCATTGTACACATGTATTCAAGCTATTGCATAATCAGTTTGAGTTTTAAATGTGGTATTTCTTGAATCAAATAGCTCACACACAATGACAGTAAACTTTATTTAATTTAAATCATACGTACTTGTTTATAAAGGTTTGTATATACACATAGGTTAGCGAGGAATTCTCGAATAAATGGTACTGGTGAAAATTGTCCTAGTAATAATGGATGGATAAGCAAAGTGGGAAAAATGGTACAGTTTCTTACCCTTTAAAAACTGCAGAATCATTTATTTGTAGTTAAGCACAAAGTTACACGATGGGTTATCAGTGCTGTGCCCACCACGAGAATCGAAACCAGATTTTTTTGCGTTATAAGCCGTAAGACTTACTGGGGGACAGCAGAATTGTAGTATGTTTATAATTTGTTAGTGAAGTAATTAGTTTTGGGGCCATTTAATCTTTAACCTTTAGCCTTTTCGCGATTTTCATACTGTACACCACTTGTGAAACATTTGTGTGTTGTTTTTGTTCTTACAAGAATTATTATTTTTATAACAAAATGAGGCAAAGTTGTTATGTATATAAACACATTAAAACCAATTCTGGTACAAACCGTCCACACCAAATGAATTATAGAGGCAATTCGGCGTAAGATTTTTCTACCTCATGTGATCAGCTCATTTTTCAATTATTGAATTACATGTTTACGGACAATGTCTGTTACTAAGCCCAAAGGATATCATTAAAGACTTTGTGGTATTGAAATAACTCTACCAACAGTACGATCAACGCAAACTGTGTTCGTTTATTTAATCACACTGACAAGTTACATACCAAGATGATGTTGTACGCTATGTAATTAAGAAATTCTTTGAAGATTATGTCGTTTCCTTTATACGAGACACATACACATGTATACTGTCCTTGAGAACTATATTACAAACACGATGAAATAAAGTTTTGGTCTCTAGCCAGTTATCTTGTTGTATTCAAATTACAGCCTACAAGACCGTAAAGCACACTCACTCAGGCCTGACATTAGGGTCTTAATGAAATACTGGAACTCTGAAATCATGGAAGAAGGGTCAAACTTCGTTACCCAAGCTAGCACGCGTTGGCTAAGGTTCGTAGAACCTCAACAAGTGGCTGAATACAACAGAGTGAGTTGGGTAGTTAAAAGAGCAGATGAAAATAACTGCCTTAGAGACAAGTCAGGCTAAAGAAGTCTGTACATGTAGTATTCGATTTGTAAATTGTAGTCCCTTCTTATACATCAAACATGTAAAAACAATCTCATTTAAGGGATCAGGCAATATCTGAATACTTTTTGCAAACAACTCTGAGATCTCAATAAGCACATATTTGAGGTCTCATATTTCAAACTTAGTGCGAATAATTGGCAATAAAAAAGGCAAAACGTTTTTAAAAAGTAAAACACAATCTCATTTGTAAGTTGACTTAACGTCATTCAAAGCTAACGTATCCTGCAGTTTGTGCGTTATGACTGGAGTTTGTGATCATATCAACAAAATACCGTACTTTAGCCAACTAAACTACCTACTTCGATATGTACTTATCTGGTGAAATGTAACTCAACATATTTTCACTTTAAAATTAATTAAAAAAATAACGATAACTTTTACAGTAGGCAAGTTCTTATTTTATTTTGAATTAATTATTCAATTCAGTAGGTTCTTCACTAAAATTATTTTTACTTTGCTTTTAAGAATGAGTTTAATCCCTTTCTGACCTCAGAAATGTTCATAAACTTCATCACCCATCATTCTCACCTAGTTTCATGCATAACTTAAATTTTAATGAATTATAATATTTGAAGTGGAGTGGGCTGACGATTTTTTCCCCATGATTGTGCTATATTCCTGAAAATAAAATAACACAAACAAGAAAAACACAAAGAAAACATATTTACGAATATTCACACAGCATCATCTATGTGTGTCTTTTTTGAGAGTTCCAATCTATGTAACTTAAAAGCATTCAAATACCAAGCTAAATTATAATTATAAAAAAAATGTTTCATGAGCTACTTTAATGTGAATAAACCCTGCAAGTCTGATGAATAACACCTACGACATTTATCAAATACTCTTCCAGCCCATTTTTGTAATTTTAGTTTGCCCATGCTACCCGAACACACTAAGATGTCGGATATCTGTGTACTTAGACATTCCAAAATTTTACAATTAAACTAAATCACATTTAAAGTTATGAATGTACTTATATACACACATCAAGATTTACAACTAAAGACCTCCATGTACTTATAAATGCCAAAATATCATAGTTGAAGATTTCTGTGTATTCATAACACAAAAGCATCACAATCTCTGGATCAGTGTACATATTAAAGTATCAGATCTTTATGTATTTGATAAACAATAAAATATCAAAAATAAATATACTTTCTAAGATATTTCAATTAAGAAATGCTTGGTACTTAAACACATTAAAATATCACAGTTAAAGGTATTTGTATACTTATTCCAACTAAAACACGAAAATGAGTTTCCTGTATACTTGCAAGCATTAAAATAATACAAATAAAGAACCCTGCATACTTATACATACCACGGTATCTCAATTAAAGATCTCTGTATCTAAATGCACAAAACATTATAACCCAAGTTCTCTGACTACTTACTATACTATCAAAAGGTCACGGTTAATTATCTCTGTGTATTCAACCACTTTAAAATATTAACTCTCTGTGTAATTATACAAAACTATTGCAATAAAAGATATATATTAATTGCACTAAAATATCACAACTAGAATATCAGAACTCTATATACTGTCACACATCTCGTCTCTGTGTATTTATACACATTAAATATGATTGTTGAAAGTCTTTGCAGCTCAAAAAAACCCACTAAAGTATTATAATTACAGATTTTTTTACTATGCATTCCAAAATATCAAATTAAAGATTGTGTATTTATACATTAAACATTGCCATTAAATATATTTGTGTAATTGTACATGCATAATATTGCACTTAAAAATCTCTATGTGTTTATACAATATAAACTACTACAATTAAAGACTTATGTATATACTGTATGTATATATACTGTTTAGTGTAAACAATCAGACTGAATATAACATGTACTTATTAATAATGATATTTTATATAAGTGAACAGATCATATCCAAAGTACATGAGATGGATATTGCAACCCATTCAGATAAACAGACTGAATTCAAGGTGAAATTAAATAGTGATGTTGCTGCATACATATGATCCAATAAGTAATTTGTAATTGCTTAAACAAAGACTTGGTAAACTTCTACACATTTTGAAATAACTACTCTACATGCATATATGAAGAATGACACCACAACTACTATTTAATCAATTCATACAACAAAAAGTAGACATTTTATAGTCCATTGTTCCAATAAGTGTTGTATTTCAAGAATTTTAGTTGGTTTTATGGTGTACTGAATATTTCACAGCTTTTGATTTTTGTATTATGTCTCTGTTTGTTTAATTTTGTGCAAAGCTACTTGAGGGCTATCTGCACTAGCTGTCCCTAATCTTTAAGTTTAAATGATGGACTAGAGGGAAGGCAGCTAGTCAACACCACCCACCACCAGTCTCAGGCTTCTTATTACCAATGAAAAGTTGGATTGACTGTCACATTATAAAACCCCTATGACTAAAAGAGTGAACATGTTTGGTGACAAGCTTTGAACCATAACCCTAATCACCAGGCCATACTATTCCTTTTGTATTATGAAGAATCAACTTCACATGACCTATATATGATAAAAATTCTGTTGTTTTGTTACTTAAAACCCAGGTCTAATAGTTATTGAGATCAATTCCAAGTACCAATCCAACAAATGTACAGGTATTAACATTATCATTGTTTAATAAATTATGCAGTTAATAACAGTGTGGTAAGTTACACAATGATCCAGATATTAACAATTTTTAAGTGGAAATGCTTCATATATTAAAAATGTAGCAAGTGTGAAAATTCTTCAGTTCAAAATTCATGCAGGAGATTTGAAAATTCTCTATAGATATTAACAACTTAGCAAGTCTAAAAGTTATCCAGATATGAACAATGTAGTGAACGTGCAGATTCTCTACGTGTTGGCATTGTTACAATTATATGTTTAGAACTGAGCCCCCCTCCACTATAATTTCATAACTATGCACATGTACTGAGGTGAGCAATATTATATGTAGCATATTTGGACTTTATTACCATGTTTTAAGTTTACTTTCTTGGTATAAAATGTAATAGAAAGTTTTATGAACTGTATCTTATGAAGTTTGAAATCTTTTTTTTTGGCTTAAAAAATGAGGTTATAAGTATGTATGCTATTGAGTACTGAACTAGAAAAGTTTCCCTGTATAAACGTATACTTTTTTTCATTGGATAGTTGTTCTGCTACTGATCTAGCTTAACTTAGGAAAGCTGACAGTGCTCAAAACTGCAGCCTTCAACAGGTTATAGTTATTAGATTTATTACCCAATATGAACTTGTTGTTATTTAATTGGATGTGAAATCAAAACTTATAGTTGAAATATACAATAAATATTTATAAGAAAACAAAAACTAGTGATCAATAACCACACATGCAGCCATTAGACTGGTTAAGGTTAATTAACTTCTTTTCAAAGTAAATCTTAACTGTATTTTTTTTTTTTGAAGTTTTAGAAATTATAGTTCCTTTATCCATTAGTTGGAATAATTATTAATTGTGTCAGAAGGTACTTAAAAGTGAATAAAAAACAGAGTATAAAATGACCATGGACTAACCTTTTTGATGGACATCATTGATGATTAGCGTAGCATCTTTATTCTCTAATGGTGAAGAACCATTCCACAGAGAGGAAAGGTTGGTGATGGGTAAACTGATATTTGGCCTAATATTATATTAGTAATAATATTTAAGCTGGTTGGCTTTCTGTTCGAGACAGGGGCTTTCAAATGTCATGTTTTATTGATACTTTTTGAAAAATATGCAGGCTTATTAATTAATTCTTCACTTCATTCGACGTATTATACTGGGAAGCAGGAACATTTTACGTGAACAGTAACCAATTCCTTCGCTTTTCATGCGATTCTGGGAGTTTACACAAAGTGACATTATAGCAGTGTCTCTCATTAACGGATGGATGCACTCGGCCACTACTGCTACACTACAGGTTGAAACCAACTTATAAATTATCAAAATAATATATTACTATCTACAGAGCCTCTGAAAACATCAGCACAGAACGGTAGCCACACCTTCAGAACGGACCACGTGTACAGAGGCAAAACAATTTACATCAAAAACAAGTTAATACGCAAAATCGTCTATTCGCAACAACACAATATGTACACCTGACAGACCGCTTGTCTAGTGAAGGCAAGAGTCATGCGCAGAACTATAGTCAGGTTGAAAATTACGTCACAATGCGTTCATGCACGCAAGAGTCGGTTTCTGTAGAGGAATAGGGTGAAAAGGTTGGTGGCAAGTTTAACTTTTTAGTTAACATATGGGAACGACAGATAGACCGATAATCAGAAAAAAACGAGATAATTAAAATGACGCTTACCTTTTGCACCGCCTGTTCCATTGTCATATACCCATCGTGAACCATCATCATCAGCTGATCTCGTTCTTCCTCTCCGATCTGGATTTGAAACTGATGAACTGGAGCGCTGGGGACGTCTACTGAAGAACAAGAAAGAAGAAAAGTAAAATCATGTCTCATTAATGCAGCAAACATTAAATAGTAGTTTTTCTGGGAATAGATCTTAATGTTTGTTCATGTGTGTGTGTTTCTTTCTTTCTTTTTTATCTATATTTTTGAATTTTATCATACTGCATCTAAATTAGATGAGGAGACGGATGCAGTAAATTTACCAATGTTGTCAAGAATATGCACAAATAGTGTAAATATTTACACTTAACTTCTGGTTTATACAAAACATTGTCATAAAAGCAATATCTAACGTTCTCATTTTATTCATCAAAGCAGTAGTTTGATTTCTTAACAGTTGCTTCATGTTAAAGCATACTTTGACGCTTCTTACGGCGGCAGTTTTATAAATCACGGTCCAAAAGGCGAATGAACAATAAAATTTAATTATAAACAGCTGTATAAAATTCAGAAGTTTTAAACTAATTAGTGTAAAGAAATGTTGCTTCCTGCTACAATTTGAAGTAATTCTAGAAAGAATAAATGGTAATTTTGATTTACGAGGTTGGTAAAATTGATCTAGTCTGTATTGAGTAAGAATACAACAAATAACAAATAAAATATGGAGACTTATCGAAAAAAGAGAGTGTTAAACTGACGGTTGGATCGTCAACAGGGGCCGCTCACCGCTTGGAGCCCTGGCGCAACTGCCCTGATTGTGAATTTGTGATATTATATGTAAACACATTTGTAAAAACTCATTGTGCTTGGCAGTCCATACCATTTAACTACAGATACGAAAACTCAATATGTTACGTTCTTCATAGAATTGGTGATAATAAAGACCTACATTTGCCCACTACTTCACAAAAGAGAGAGAGAGAGAAAAAAGAATATTTGTTTGTAATTAAGCACAAAGGTACACAATGGGCTGTCTGTGACTTGCCCACCACGGGTATTGAAACTCAGTTTCTAGCGTTTAAGTCCACAGACATACCGCTGTGCCACTGGTGGGCTAAAATAGATTGGTTGGAAACGTGAGTGTAACAGCTGTAGTAATCTTAAACATATTATCTATCATAAAAATTGACAAAAAAGTCATGTTCTTCATGTTGCAATTATGGTAATATGGTCCAACATTGTGGTTTGAAATAATAAACATAGAAGAAATGACCTGAATGGACTTGTAATTGTTCTCTTTGATATTTGCATGGAATTCTATGCATATGGATAGTTTTATGTTAATTTTTCACTTCATGCTTCACTGCTTTTAGAAGAAAATGCTGTTTTGTTTTCAGATATTTGTGAAAAGTTACTCAAGGGCTATCTATGCTAGTCATCCCTTATTTTGAACTGGTAGACTTGAGGGAAAGCAGCTAGTCAATATCTCCCACTGCCAACTCTTGAGCTAATCTTGTCAGACTGAATAGTTGCATTATTTTGTTTGTACCGTAATAGGAGGTGAACCACAAAACCTCAGCTCTTCAGTTTGGCATGCTAACCACTGGGTTGCACTCAACCCTATAATAAAAATATAAAACAAAGTATATATATATCTACACCTGAGGCTATAGTGGATTTCTTTGAATTAATGTGCTGAATAGAATGTCTAGGGTTGTTGTTGACCAGCATTTTTCCAGTAATAGTTTGTGAATGACCTCCATTGCTTATGCACAAGCTCCACTTTAAATCAAAATGGTATATTTAGTAGAGACATGGGGTTCTCCCATTTCTGATCTTAGCATCTGTCCTTCTCAAGTACCATATAGACTCAAATGGCATTCCAATGTGTCATATGATATTGGCAATGGTTATGCCATCACGTTACCACACATGAGTTGTACTCCTCTATGATATAGGTTGGGGGCTTAACCAACTTATGTATCTCTAGCCATTCTGCTAGCAATATCAATGGTGTAACAATAACGATGGTGTCTTCTGAATGTCTCTTAATGGTAGCTACAACTTTTTTGTTTGAGGGTTTGTTGATTTTCCTTTCTTTTCTAGGCAGGAAACCTTGGATGGGTTCCCCAGTGGTTTAAAAGTCATCATTCAACTCAACAGCTCAGTGAACTGTTCAACAGAGGTAAACCTAAGTATCACTCTTGTGCTGTCATTGCTCATGACAGCATTCTGATTGGCATGGGACATATCTCTAGACCTATTTCTCTTCCACCTTTGGCTACTTAGTAGTCTGTCCATCTGAGGTGGATGGTTGGTCATGGTAGAAGATTAGGCACTCGAACTGCTGAAGAACAGCAGAAGCCTTATGGAATAGACTGCACATAGAATACAGCTGCTGACTTCTCTCTTGATACTTGGCAGCAATTAATGCTTGAGACAATATTATTGCTTTTATAGCTATAGGTGCATTACAAGAAGAAGAAGACAAAGTATTGAACTAAATTATACTCTGTACTTTTTGCTTGAAAAGACCCTTTATTCTCAAACTTTCTTAAAATGAATGCTATAAATGTACCTATTTTTTTCTGTTCTATAACCAATAAGCATAAAATACAGCTTTTCTGAGCTGACTTTCTGCTTTACAGGAATAATGCTTCTCTATTTTATAAAATGAAATGTTATAGCTTTGCCTACATGTTTCTAAGCTATACCCAGTAAGCACAGAATACAGCTTTTCTGAGCTGACTTGCTGGCTTGGAAGAAAGATGATATTTTATTAACAACACATTCATTCAATATTTTATATGACTATATTTCAGTAGCATTATTTTCTGTAATTTTACTTTCTCAGATATGGTTGTTTTGCTTGATTTGTATGTTGTAACTGATTTTATGAATGTTCATCATATAAACTATGTGTACGTGTATATGCCTACAGCATACATTTTCAGATTTTGATTTGTAAGACATTTAAATACAATAAAAGAAGGGTAGTAATCTGGTCTGAATGTATGCCACACTATGTCACCATCCATAAGTGCACACACCCAAAACTACTAACACAAAATAGTAGAGAATTGAAAGTCAAAAACAAGAAATAAATACCGCCACCCTTCACTTCTTTCTAGTGTAAATCACAATTAGGTTATAAGATAACCATGGAAGACATAAACATATTTCAGTGATGTTCTTTCTACTTATATCTTCAATGCATGTGTATGATAACTTTTCCATATACAGACTTATTCTTCAACTTGCATGATTGTCAATGTCTGTGTAAGGCTATTTAAGATTATAGGAGTTTCTAATATAAAATCAAGTTGAATGTTTTCCATGGAATAACACCTATGTGCATGTTGAGGTCATGTTAAAAAGACATCATGAGCATTGGATGTTCCTGATATTCCAGCAACCTCCAATAACTTGCTATCCTTTAATGTTTTAGGTTCTCTAGTGACCACAATACACTGTTTTATGGGCTGAAATTGTGTGTGTAGTATAAATTGTTATAAAACTATTTCACAGTGAAATTTCATAATGTAAGTGTCATAAATCGTTTTTGACTGCTGACTGGTGTGCAGATCACAAAACTATCTTAACTGTTGAAATGCTTCTTTCATTCCAAGCTATAGTAATTAAGGGTTAAACATAATTCCTGTGCTATGTAACTGTTAGATGTTCAGGTGGTATATTCTCTTTCTTCGACTCAGGATGAAAAGCCAAGGAAGGTTTGATGCTGCTATCCTCTACTTCTTCTGACAGATCAGGTTAGTAATTGATAGTGCTCTCATCATTTTCTGCAGACTCAACTCATTGAAACTGTGCTTCTTGGTTTTAAATGGCTGTTCTAGATGCTCGTACGTAATGTAAAGTTTCATCATATTGATACTTTTTTGATATGTTTACGTGTCATGAAGAACTGAATCTTTTAGTATGATGGAGTGAGTCACTGGAAAACAAGATAAGAAAACAAGACAAATCTGAGTGTTTAATGTGCTTATGGAGTATACCAAAGCCATGCCTAGTCTCTTTGTTCAAACTAATGCTGTTTTCACTATCTTATAATTCTCTCTTTTTATGTCTCTCAGGTACTTTTCACCTGTTGATTAAATACGTGATGTGCATCAGCTATCATGGATTGAAACCACTGCATGTATTCTTGTGGACACTCCAGCAATTCTGTAGCTGGTGACTGTATGTGAGATCTACTGGAAGTGTAACTTCACATTTGAACATTGGCATGTTTGAGTTAGTTCAATCTGAGCTCACAATCTTGGAAAGCATATTCTTTACAGTTTTGGTACCCCACTTAGCCAATACATTAGACTAAGGATGATAAGACAAAGTATAATTCTTCCACCAACCCAGTACCCTACACAGCTCAAAACATATATCCAAGACATCTAATTGCTCTTCTTGCAGTTTCCCTTTCACCAAATTTGGTATCATTTCAACAGTGGATTTTCCACTAGTTGCATCATTTTTTGTCATGTTAGAGACTTTAGGCTTCACCAAACATCATTATGTCCTTGATCTGGAAATTCTACAAAAGAGCAAGTTCTTAACAGCTGTATCTGTGTTTCTGTTCTGCTACTCCAAACAAAGTTGTATAGTAAAGTTGTACTTCTGCAGTATTGTGATCCAATATCCAATCATACTATATGGTTCCCTAAAGTACATTAGTTACTTCAATGATGCATGATCTACAGATTTACCAGAGCAGTAAGTTCTCCACCAAACAAATATTGGCAAAATGCTAGATGAATACTATGACTGCAAGCAGTTCTTTCATTATTGCACAGTAACAGCATTTGGCTTATGTACCTTATTGCTTCCTCCACACTATCCAGTACTCATGACAGCATTACTCAATTCCTATATCAATGGCATTTTCATCCAGCATAAATGGAATATTCCTCCTTAGATAGGCTAGCACTGGAGCAAACATCAAGGTACATTTCAGTGACTTGAATGAATTTGGACCATCTTTAGTCTATCTGGAATAGGATCTAGTCATAGCTAGTATTAAATACTGTTAGTATTAACAGTTCTGTTGTTTTCAAATTATCTAAGGGAAACTTTTCCATTTCTGCAGGATTTCTAGACACTCTATCCCTGCTTACAATGTGTCTGAGAAACTCTGCATGCATGCATCTGCATAAGGGAAAATGTACCTGGCTTCAATTGTAGATCAGCATGTCATGTATGTGTAGGTGTTCACCTGTTGGCTGATATGTACGAAAAATCATTAAGATGCCATTGGCATTGATAAGTCACCATTCTCGCTGTAAACTATGTAATGCAAATTTCATAAGCTACCCATAAGTAGTTGATGAATTATCGTGGCTGAAAGGCATGAAACAAAACTCCTCTTGAATACTGAATGTAGTACTGACTCTCCTTTCATTGTTTAAATCGAATTATCAGATGTAAAAAGCAAAATCTAGTGAACTAAACAGCAGGATGATTCCAGTGCATTGCTATGACATCAAACATATGCCAATACACACTACTACCTTCAACCACTTGAAGTTCACACAAAACCTTGGTGTACCACGTTTTTTTCATATTATCAACACTGGTGATACCCAAGTACTTTCTTAAGGTTGGTGATTCTATACTTAAGCAGTTGATGTATCTCAGCACTGGTTATATCTCTCATGCTCCAAGGAAGGTTACATGATGGTTGATTTATAAGATGCATGTTCATTGGCCACCTGTTCTGAGAAAAAGATTTCCAAATAGCACCAGTAACTTCCTTGTGGAAGCACATTTGGCAGTGATTACTGTTGTGAATCATTTTTGATAGGTCTTTACCAACTATATAAATTTACTTGTATTTATATACAAGGGAATGAAAACAAGCCCTATTTAATAATGAACTAGAAATAAAACATGTATGGTCAGCAGACTGAAGAATATACGAAATATGCTTTGATGCTTTCAAGATTAGAAACAACTCAGTTTGAAGGTGCTCAAATGTCATTTGCAATTCTTCTTCTGTCTGTAAATAACTAATTATAAAGTTGGTCACAAGAATCCAGAAGCTTTTTCACTTTGTGTGAAGTCATTAAGCAGTTTTCCATTCCTAAGGAAAATAGAACACAATACAACTATCCCGTGAAACAGTAGCACATTTCTTTGACCAGCTTTAAGATGTTTCAAATCAGTATTTAGGAAAATTTTGCAAATGTGAAATATGCACTACAGAGATTAAGACATGTAGTATTTGCATATGACATGCAGATAGAGTAGCAAGACTCTTACTGGTTGTTAGGGTAACACTATTTTATTATGATTACGCATATGTAGAGCTTATGACACTGCATACGGATAGTCTATTTAGTTTGGAATTATATATTACAATATATAGCTCCTACAGCTCTAGCTACAAATATAATAATCTATTTTACATTTCTGTGCAAATATATTAGGGCTACAGCTTTGGATGTGAATACCAGCCACCAAAAACATGAACTTGCTATAAGGTTTTAACAACGAAATCTTTGTTTGGCTGTGAGGTCAGAAGAGTAACGTGAAGCATATTAGTTCTATGTATCATTATCATAAGTAGTAAGCCCTGAACTCTGTGGACACATGTGCCGCCGATTGGCTGCCTCATAGGGGTTAGCCAATGATGTCATAGTTCCACAAATTCGTACCAAAGGGTGCATTGCTAGGAAAGGGATAACACCATAGTGTGACTCACCAGAGGGCATGTTGCTAAAGGTGGATGGTGCTACTAAGGAACTATAAACAGACCAAGGACAGTGTTATGGAAGGATGGTGAGGTCATCGAACTGCATAAAGGCCTCAACAAATCTCAGTTACAGCATTAATATTTAAGCCTGACTTTGCGAGATACCTTTGTTAATAAGTAATATTCTGAGGTAAAAATTAACCAAAAGATAAGCTACTAAGACCATATTAGTAAAATGTTTTAACTCTTTCACTACCACATTTGTAGATAAACAATTCTTTCAGTTTCAGGTTTGTTTTTCATTACAAAAGAATATGGAAAAGACATGTTTTAATACTTCATTACTTGAACTTAGGAGGTTTGAAGGGGGGTAACTCTATCTTCACTTGGTACAGAATATGCAAGTTTTATGTTCATGTTTATGAACTTTGGGATAGTTACATTCTGTTCTGGTGGAACATATAAATAGAGGGAACAGTATAACAATTCCGAAAAAATTATATAAATATGCATGAATAACATTCTTTTCATTTTGTTAGCAAAGGAAGAATTAATAGTCACAATACTTTTGGTAAATAAGAATGACTACATGAGACAAATTATGTTATTCCTTTCATGTAACTATAGATAGAATGAAGGATGATTGGTATATAAGTAAATGATCATCTTCCTCTTATGTGTTATGATCTAGACGTACAGTGTCTTGCAAAAGTATTCAACCTCCTGCAAAGTTTCCACAGTTTGTTGCCATCTGAGCTTGCAATCGTGAAATTTTCAAATGAGACTTTATATGTTGAATGTACACTAACTCCAAATGAGAATGCTAAAAAAACGCTGATATTATATAGGTAAATTAGATTTTCAAAGACAATTAGAGTATTTTCAAAAGCATAAGTATTGAACCCCTTTGCTACTACAACCCTAAATCAGTTCAGGTGCAAAAGGTTAGTTTGAAAGGTCACAAAATTCGTGTAATGGTCTCTGTCTGTGTGTAATCAAAGTGGTTTGACTTGGCTTAAGAGTAAATACATCTGATAAAGCCATAACTCACATAGTGTTACAACAAATTAAACATGAAGACCAAGAAGCTATGCAAACGAATCCGAGATAAAAAAAAAAGCCAATTGTGACTGAAAGATTTGTAAAGTTCCATGTCTGAGATGGGAGTAAGTATTTAGAAATTGACAATATCCTGGGCCCTATACAAAGTTGGCCCATATGGGTGAGTGACAAGAAAGAAGCCATTACTGAAAAAGAATCATCTTAAATCTCATCTAAAGTTTGTGACAAAGCATGCGAATGATATTGCAGAGATGTGGCAGAAAGTTTTGTGGTCAGATAAGACAAAAACTGAGCTCTTTGGTCTAAATTCAAAGTGTTACGTTTGGTGCAAGCTCAACACAGCACATAACCCAGTCAATACCATCCCAAATGTCAAATATGGTGACAGTATCATGTTATAGGTATTCTTCTCATCAGCAGGGACAGGGAGGCTTGTCAGGATTGAGGGGAATATGGACGATGCAAACTACAGGTAAATCCTAGGGGAAAACCTGTTTGCATCAGCCAAGAATCTAAAACTGTGTTAAAAAGAAGAAAGTGAATGTCCTTAAGTGGCTCAGTCAAAGTTCTAACTTGAATCCAATAGAAAATTTATGGCAAGACTTGAAGATTGTAGTCCATCAATGATCCCCAACGAACTTGTTAGATGTGGAGCAATTGTGCCAGGAAGAATGGGCAAACATTACACCATCCCATTGTGCAAAGCTGGTAGAGACCTATCCAAAGAGATTCGTAGCAGTAATTGCTGCCAAAGGTGCTTCCACCAAGTACTGACTTAGGTGACTAAATACTTATGTAATCAGCAAATTTAAATTTATATGTTATCTTTGCAGGTTTTGCTGACATTCAACATCCTTCACACATAACAGTGTTAAGTTTGATCATTAGAGTTCTGAATAAAAACGAGTTCACTAAAAAAAATTTTTACATTATTTGTATTTCATCAAAATATGATATTATTGGTAGGGGTGAATACCAATAAGGCACCGCATATCTTTCAAGTACTGTAAGATAAATAGTCTGCATATTCATAGATCTATGAAGCTGTTAGATTATATCTTCCAAGTACTGTAAGATATGTAGTCTAGATCTTCATAGATGGTGGTAGGCTACATTTTCCCCAAAGATTTAAGGTTGACTGTTTACTTCCACAGAAGCGTAAGAATTGTTGTATTCTACATTTTCACAGAGCTGTAAAGTCAGTGTTCTACTTCTTTCTTGGGTTATGGAGTCGGTAATTTGTATTTTACAGTCAATAGTTTCATATTTATTTTGTGATCTGAATCATTTATGATTCCATAAAACAAATAGCTGAGTCTGAAGTAGCTAAAACTCAATTCTGAAAATAATTGTTGAGTACTGATGAACATAAATATAATTCTTTTTTGACATTAAATTATGAAGTTATGTGAAATTATATTAAAAAAATGTTATGTTCAAACACCTTAGGCTTAATTTTAATTTCTTTTTTTACTATTAACTTAATCTAAAAACACAAAAACGTTGCATTAGTTTACCCTCCCCTAGACATTCTAATGATTAGGGTTCACCAGTAACACAAATAATTTTGGTTTACATTTTCATATGTTGAATCATAGGACTTCAGCTAAGATTTACTTCAAACATTAGCAAAAAATATCATTGAAATATTCATCAGAAGAGTTCTTGTAAATCATTAAGGTTTTAACACATCAGTATTTGCAAGAAACACCAAGCAAAATTTTTAACTATTCACCTGATGTACTTTTCATAATTATAAAGGGCCTGGCATGACCAGGTGGTTAGGGCGCTCGACTCGCAATCTGTGAGTCATGGGTTCGAATCACCGTCACGCTAAACATGCTCGCCCTTTCAGCTGTGAGGGCATTATAATGTGACAGTCAATCCCACTATTCATTGGTAAAAGAGTAGCCCAAAAGTTGGCGGTGGGTGGTGATGACTAGCTGCCTTCCCTCTAGTCTTACACTGCAAGATTAGGGATGGCTAGCACAGATAGCCCTCTTGTAGCTTTGCACGAAATTCATAACAAACAACAAACATAATTATAATACAAGTAAGCACACCTTAGAAACATATATATTTAAAAGACCTACCTTCAACATGATTTTTGGAACAGGGTGATTTACAAGGTAATTGTAGTTTTCGGTCATTCTTTTCTGATTTTCGTGACTTTTTTTCTTTACATTTGTCTTTTTTGGTACCAAAACTTCGAAACAACTTTCCTAAACCTCCTTTCTTCTTTGTTCCATTTGAGTAGGGCTTTTCAGATTTGGCCTCTGTTAACAAAGATAAGGAAGTAAATCCACAGAAATTAACAAGTTATTTCCTATTGTTCACAGAAATCAATTATCAAAGAAGATATCAAAACTGCATCTAGTGTTTTTGAGTCTTATTTTAAATATTGTGGTAAAATGTAAGCTGTTTAATTTAAGTACTGCAAGTACTTATTTCAACTGAGTATGTTGGTTCAAAACAGAGATACATGTAAAAACCCTGGCCAAAACCATAACTTGAATCTTGGGTATACTAGGAATGTAGGGTGTACCTTAGAAGCCATGTGTAGCAGCAACCCTTGACTGCTGTGAGAAATGGGCAAGTCATACCTCTGTGGCCAAACAGGTTAGTGGATGCAATATAGTAGATGTAATGGAGCAAAAACAAATAAGATAATTATGTGTACAGGAAATAAAATGGAAGAAAAAAAGCTCCAAATTGCTATGTGATGCTTATGAGGTGTTTTGTAATGGCAAAAGCACAAGAAGAAATGGGGTAGGCATAGTTTTAAATGGAATTCTGAAAGAAAATTGTAATGGAGGTCAAAAGAATAAATAAGAGGATGATGGATGTAAAAATAGCACTGAGACTGAAATGATAAATATAGTATCAGCTTATGCACCACAATACGGATGTTAGGAAGAAGAAAAGGAATAATTTACAGAACTCTTGCAGACCTAATAAGAAGCATATCCCAGTCAGAGGCAATAATGAATGAAGGAGATCTGAACTGCCGTGTAGGGAAAATGGAGAATAATGTTGGTGGAGTGCATGGAGGAAAAGGATATAGAAGTAGTAGTGAGGAGGAAGAAAGCTTGCTGGACATGGCTAATGCTTTAGATATGTATTTTGCCAACACAGATTTTCAAAAGAGAGAGAGATAAACATCTAATTAATTACAAAATGGATAATATATAACTTAAATTGACTATGTGTTACTAAGAAAGATGAACTATAATGAACTGCAAAGTGATTCCAGGAGAGACCCAATATAGACTACTGATTGTAGATATGAGGGTTAGAAAAAGGGAAAAAAGAGCAAGAGTAAGAGAAGAGAAAGTAAAATAAAAGCTAGACACTCAAGGGGCATAATATTACCAAATACAAAAATGAAGTAACAAAATTTAAGAGAAAATATGGAAGGGAGGGGAACAGTATAAGTGGGAAGAGCAGAGAGGGAAGAGTAAATATGGAATAGAATAATATGAAAGCAATACTGGTGGAACTAGCAAATAATTTTGTGGTGTCAGAAAAAGAAAAAAGCCTCAAGGGAGAGAGAGATGTGGTAGTGGAATGAAGAAGTGCAAGAAAATGGAGGTAATTCAAAGCAGCAAAGGGGGAAGAGAGGATGATTCTTAAAAAGAAAATACATATGAAGTTTAAGAAAATATATAAAACAGCAGTTAGCTCAGTTCTGTATTATGGAGCAAAAACTTGGACCATTAGAAAAAAGGAGGAGAGTATTTTATAAATAACTAAAATGAGAATATTAAGATGAATGCTGAGAATATCTTGGGGAGCAAGAATAATGAGTGGTGACATTAAGAAGAGAGTTGGAGTCTGTAAGATCATAGAAAAAGCGAGAAGCAAGATTGAGATGGTTTGGATATGTAGTAAAAAGTTAAGAAGAATGTGCAGCAGTGAAAAAAGTATTGGAATTGCCAGTGAAGAGTCGAGGAAGTAGAAGAAGACAAATAATATGGTGGAGAAACATGGAGAACAGGGATATGATAAAGGTCAGAGTAATTAGAAATGATGCACAGAATTGCAATCTATAAAGAAGGAGGACCTGAAAGACTGACCCCACACCAAAATGGGGCTAAGGTCATAAGAAGAAAAAGGAGTATAATTTTGTTGAAATGATGTTGTTAAGTATTACAGGATATGTTCTTTAAAAAATTAACAACTTGAGTTCAGATTCTTTCAAGGACCTTATAATAAATATGGGTAAAAATTATATCTTAAGAAAGTGAAATACAGACGTGATTGAAGTGGTCTCAATAGTCATGTAGTTCCTCGAAAATCGCTCCTAAGAATAGGTCACCAAACCAAAAAATTAAAATACGCATTTGACCATAAACAGTGAAATGAGCAAAGCTGGAGTCATGTGTTCTTTACAGATGAATCCAAGATCCAATTATTCAGCAACAATCTACAACAATGTTTTCAACACCAAAGAGAATAATGGTATCACAGTCAATACTCAACATTTACAGTGCAGTGTGGTGGCATATCAGTACGAGTTTGGGGCTGAATCTCAATCAGTGGTATCAGTGATTTACACAAAGTGATGGCAGCTAACTGCTGCAATTATAGGCCGATTCTGATTCATTAGGCTATTCCACCATGAACAGGATTTTGGGCAGCAATGCATCTTTCAGCAAGAGATTTATTCCAAGCATACAACACACATAGTAAAATAATATCTTGATGGTAAAGAGGCTGATGGAACACTCACATCTATGGTGTGGCCTGAATAAAGTCTTGATATGAAGATTCTTGAGACTGTTCCAGCTTATGCAAAAACTGAGAAGATCAAAAGTCGACCAAACAGCTTGGCTGTATTGTGAGAAGTAATACAGAACATTTGGAACAATATTTCATAATCGTACATTGATAAGCTTTAAGACAGCATCTAGTGCATGGTACAACTTTTGTATAGTCTGTACTAATTTTTGTACCATTAATAAATTGACCATCTAGTTGCAATTGCTCATTGTTTGTAACTCCTGTTTGTGTGTTCCAGAATTATTTCCATTACTGTATAATTTTAAAGTCAGGTGTTTTATACAACAATAACTAACATCACTGAAAATAATGGCTGTAGATAGCTATGAGGTCATCGAGGTCTGGACCTCGATTAAACGTTGAAATTTAATGTAACATACTATTTAACTTTACACCCATTTGAAAAAGATATACAATATGAAGACCTGATCTTATGTGCTTGTCGGTGTTTGGACCTCAGATAAATTTTCATTCTAGCTACAGTGATGCTGAAAACTACAACTGTTTGGATGAAAATTTCATACGTCATTAGCAAATATCCATATTTCGTCAATGGGAACAATATCAAGAAACATTTTGGTTAAGTTTCCTTATGATTCACGTTTTTCAAACACATAGATATTATCACTGCCTTATATCACTGGTCTTATATTTTACTTAGTAGTTTGCAGGGAACAGATGAACTTCACGAAAAATTCCCCCGTTATTTTGACTTCATGGGGCAGTTACAACACTCATTTGTAAGTATCCTTTGAAACTGTACTTCTTCCAATGATTTCATTTAGCAAAGTGTAATGACTTTTATGTAATAATATCATGAAAAAAGACTGGAATGCTATAACGTTATCATTCTGCAGTTTCAGCAGTAAAAAATAAGTAACCTTTCTCCAATCCTATCAACATGGTTCTCTTAAGCAATTTTTTATGTGGCACCTTATCAAAAGGTTTTTCAAAACCCAAGTACTCTAATTGTACACTCTTTCCTTTCCATCATTTAGGTAACACTTAATATATCTTGAAATAAGTTGATAGATTAGGAAAGAAAAAGTTCCCTTTAGTGAAACCATGTTGATTTTATTTTGTGGTATTATATGTTATTAAATGTGTCTTCTGGTGGGACAACTGTAAGTTTACGGACTTACTACGCAAACATCCGGGGTTTGATTCCCCATCGTGGTCACACCAGATAGCCTAATGTGACTTTGCTGTAAAACAAACAAATCATTAAATGATTTTGAAAAGATTCTTTCATCAGACTCTTTAGAATGTTTCTCCCTGAAGAAGTAAGAATAACTGGCCATCTAATTAACGCAGTCATACTAAAGGAACTAGTCCAGAGTTTGTAAAGTCAAGCGCTATCATAAACGATGCAATTAAATACTTTCTAGGCAATTTACTTACATACACAACGGAAGTATACTGTATCTTCAGGATAAGATTCTATTTTAAAAACTTACGAAAAAACGAAAAAGAAGCAAATTAGTGAAGAGTAATAAGTAATTTTTCTAACAGAGAAAATATATATTCATTTTTTCACTCTTAAACTATTTTCCTATATCTACCTATCCCGGTTCTTAATTTTATCACTTTGAAGAAAATAATTTTCGAAATGCTTTTTTCCTGTCAGACATAGTAGATTACTATTTGTGCTGCATATTTCAATTTTAGTAAATTTAATTGATATAAACTACTTGTTCTCTTAACAAATCATGTTAATTTCATCCAGTATGTTTATTTTGTTTGACGCTATATTACAATGTACAGTGCCTTGCAAAAGTATTTACCCCCTGCAAAGTTTCAACATTTTGTTACCATTTGAGCTTGCAATGGTGAAAATTTCAAATGGAATTTTATATTTAGAATCTAAACAATCTACTCCAAACTGAGAAAGATAAAAAAAAACGCTGATATTATGTAACTAAGTCAGATTTTCAAAGAAAATTAGATTATTCTCAATTGCATAGGTATTCAACCCTTTTGCTACGACCACCCTAAACCAGTTGAAGTGCAAGAGATTATTTTGAAAGGTCCCAAAAATAGTGTAATGATCTCTGTCTGTACGTAATCAAAGTGGTTTAACTTGACTTCATAGTAAATACACACCAACAAATCACAGTAAGTAAGAAAGTGACACTCGATAGTAACCCACATTACCTTTAGAATCGCAACCCCATCATTCGGAAGAGACCTTTTCTTTACAGAACCAACCAGGTTCTTTAAAATAATAGTGGTATTTTTTCCTCTAAAACAGTGTGAATAGCTTCCTATATTCTAACGCCATGGAATTTATATTAACAGTTTCGTGTCATTATCCCCATTATTTAAATGCAACAAAATGAACAGTTTGCAGTTTACTACTTCATTCATTCACTTTGGAAATATTTCATATTGTGCTGGTTGGTATCTCGATTGGGCGATGTTATTACTAAATCCCATAACTTGATGAGGTAGCTGGAGAAGGGTCCTGCAGTCATAAGTGGCACAGCCATAATGGTAACAGGTGTAACCCAGATGAGTTCTACTATTCCGTATTGCATAGTTAATAGTGTTTTATGTTGGAATTATTGAGCCAATACAGACAGAAGTGTAGTTAGTTTGATCCTTACATTTGTCAGTTCAGTTTCTAGATGTTTTATCTAGACTTCAATGACCTTTAGTACTTCTTCGATTTTTGTTTGTTATAATCTTTTTTTGGACTTCACCGATGTCCTTTTGTGTGCCACTGATGTAATTTTTTATTTCCTCTTTTTCTTCATTGTTCACTGATACCATTTTGTACTTCCTTTTCATTGTCCATTGATGTACTTTTGCGTATTTTCTGTATCTTCCTAGATTTTTGACTTCAATCGAATTATTTTTTAACAATTCTTCTGTAAATAATACATTTTTTTTTCATATATTGCTCAAATTGTTTCCTAAACTTGTATGAAGGTTCAAGTCACTAGAGGCACGCTCGTCATATGACGTTAAACTTCCTTCTGCCTAAATAAAATACAAATTTCAAGAAACTTGTAGATCAAACTCATAATCTACAACAATAATTTATCCGTTATACACTTCGAAGTATAATTTATTTTTTATATACTTCATCGTATAATTGTTATCTGTTATAGACTTAACCGAATGTTTTCGTAGTTGATATACATTAAACCGCAGAGAATAGTATATGTTGTAGGCTTCACCGTAAAGTTTATTATCTCTTGCACACATCATGTGTATAATCTATTACCTGTTTGAAACTCCAAAGTTGCAAGTTTTATCGCACTGTAGTCACATTTGCTTAATCTTGTAATGTCCAGTTAAACAACACCTGATTCATTTTAGAGGTCACCCAATATAGTCCACTCGCCCTACATATGAATCTGACTATAGAATTTTAACTAAATTAATTTGTATACACTAAAATTTTATGTAGAATGTTATTTCATACAGCAGTTGTACTTAATTTTGATTATGTGGGGCGCATTTCTGTGTGGTTTTAGCTAAGTTCAGATAATCCTGACAAATTTAAAACGATCGGGTAATAATAAATACAACATTCGGTATATGTAATGTTTATGATAATAATTTTTAATATAGGATTATTACATGCAGACTACAGAAGCACTAATTTTGGATTGGAACTTACCTGCTGTAGTAAACGGGCAAGGTTGGTAAAAGGATTTTGATCGTGGACTAAGGTACCTGAAAATACATAAGTGTATTTATACAAGTTAGTCAGTAACTTTATAATATAACAAATTATCTACAATGTAGGTTGAGCTTCAATCATATATATACATTATTTCTAGTTTATCGAATTGTCCATAATAGAGATATTGTTATTGAATTTCGCGCACAGCTAGTCGTCTCGAAATGCTGAAGTTATAGATTAAAGAGAAGGCACCTAGTCAATACCCACAGCCGCCTTCTGGGCAACTCTAATCTAATAGTGGAATTTGAACCCCGCTCTTATAGTTCACCATGGGCCCCAAAGTCTGGAGTGCGATCTATAATTCACACTATAGTCAATACATTTACAACAATAGGATAAATTGGTGTAGTAGTCAGTGGTTTGACTGAACCCCACTTCCTTGTTTCTCCGTCGTGCCTTAACATCTCAGACTAACTGTGTAAAGAATATTACAAATCTGCACCCCTGTATTTGTAATGTTACCTGCATCTGTTCTGTCGTCTAGTCGATAATGCTGACTTTATATTAGAGCCAGAGTAGCATCATATTTAGAATGACTTCTGCTATTCGTTTTGGCATGTGACAGTAATTTATGTGGTGTTGTGCACGCAATTTTTACCTACTTTTAGTTCCTTCACTTTTCTTTCAAGGAAAATCTGGAGGCGAAACTGAGACAATAGAATGTTATGTAAGTAAACGATAAGATGCAAAAATAGTTTCCCCATGATGTTCATTTACGGATAAAAATAGTCATTTGGCATTGGACTGGGTGTTTACTGATGGCAAACTCATCATTCTCAGCATTACGTGATCACACGCTTTAAGAACTTGATATTTCACAACAAAGTTTACATAAACTTTACATATTTCTTGTTTACTAAACAAGAAATATGTAATTTAACCAATATTCCTACACAATATAAAATGAAAATGATTCAAAGGAAAAATGTATCTGCGACAATAACATTGCACGATAATAAGCGACCTGCTTTAAACAGTACCAGTAAACTGACAACGATTTAAAAAAAAACACAGTTTGTGCAGATCATATAAAACACCTGGAACTATGAAGAAGTGCAAACATGTGCCAAAAGTAAAATTTTACTTGACTACAGCGACGTACAAACTTAATTCTTTAATCTTAATTCACAATGTCATATCCAAATCGATCTATGGGTTTAAACTTCTGATTAGGTAGGTACTTTTGCACCGGTTCAATCAAATTTAGGCAATAAGGATGGCTGAAAAAATGTAATGAAAAACAAAAATCATGACAATACTATGTCTTAAATTACTATTATATATTGATATTTAAAAGAATTATAAGATTACAGGAAATTCTCAAATACACGTATAAAGATTTGGTTATTAGAATTTCTAACATGGACTAATCGGCCACGTCGGATACAACAAGTTTTAGGCATAACTATCCCTGTTTTAAAACTATCGACAAGTGGCAATTTTGACAGAATAGCCAGACTGACTGTCAAAGCTATAGTGTCTTCAATAGCTAAAAGCGCTAAATGCACTCAGCAGCATATAGCGGCTCGAACCTTATACCTTTTTATTCGCATCTTCATCTGTTCTGTTGTGTATCTAGCGAATTTCTTTCGACCTGTTCTGCGAAAACTCCGTTATAATTTCCTAGCAATTATTATACGGCCAAAGTGTTGCTACTAAAAATCGCTTGAGAGCTCGGAAAGTAAGGGTTGCAACATCTTTTTATCTGTAGATTCTTCAACCCCCCAACTGTCCTAAATGTACTATAGTAGAATGTTATCACACAACGTTTTGAAGTAATGTTATTGCAAACAGCTACTCGAATTAGCTCGGTAGGCAAGGAATGCTACTTTTAGAGGGCAAAAAGCAGCATCTCCTTACCTTGGCTTTAAAACAACTTTTCAGACAACAAACAATCAAAAAACTAAACAAAAACGTTTTACATAAAAGACAGAATAGTGGTACAAGATAAAAAACTACACATTAGAAGGGCATGCACCTTAGTAAGAGATATTTACCGAAATGAAACTCGCAAAACGATAGGAATACACCGTCGGTCAGATTTAACCTTTACTGGCAAACCTCACTGCTCTCATACGTAAGTAAGAAAAAGTAAACACTTGGAGCAAGTCCGGAGATTCAAACTCACAACAAACTCATATATACTATCTGCAGACAGTTGTGCGTAGGTACTTGCTCGTAGTGAAACAGAATTATGAAAATAAAACAACTTACTACAAACGTGCCTCTGAAGGCAATAAGTAAGACTAAATACCTGGAGCTGGTATTCCATATCATTCAAGAGTCACTTACCTAAATGAACATCTCAAGAAAGATTAAGATATCTCATGTTAAAAATTCTATTACTAGAAGAATATAAGATAGAATTTTCGTCTTCATTGTAACTTCTTTACATCATTTATGCATGTATTTTTATACTTTTATACATGAAGTAAGAACAACTTCCTTGAAAAACCTAGTTTATAGTTTATCTAATTATATGTAATACATTCAGTAACTTTGGAGCACGTCTAAACATCCGTAGTACAGTTAGTAGGTTTATAGCTTATCTAATTATTAGTAATACATTCAGTAAGTTTAGAGCATGTCTAAATATCCGTAATACAGTCTAATTATTCATAATAAATTCAATAACTTTAGAGCTCGTCAAAATATTCGTAATATAGTCAGTAGGTTTATGTTTTATCTAATTATCCTTAATACATTCAGTAAATTTATAACACGTAAATATCTGTAATACAGTTAGTAGGTTTATAGTTTATCTAACTACCCATAATGCATTCAGTAACTTTAGATCATGTCTAAATATCTATAATACAATCAGTAGGTGTGTCATCTAATTATCTGTAATACATTCAGTAAGTTTATAACACCTAAATATCTGTAATATAGTCAGTAGGTTTATAATTTATCTAATTAATAGCTGGAGTACCTGTCCGTCAGACGGGTGAAATAAAAACTCGTTTGTAACAAAAGATTGGAAATTGTGCTTCTATTTTTTAACATAGTAAACATTAAAAATGAAGTAAAAATACAAAAAGGCACCAATACTGAGAAAAAAGACATATTGTTTTCAAGAATTCTATCAATATGAAATTAGATGGGAGGTCCACCCCACCCCCATGATCTTCCTCATGTCATCCTATACCACTGTGTGAAGTTGGGTGCAGATTGATCAAGAAATGTGGAAACGTATAAGAAACATATACACGCACATATTGATGTTTATTTACATAGAATATGGGGGGTTCACCCCCCTCATGACCTTCCTCATGTCATCTTATATCAACGTGTCAAGTTTGGTGGTGATTGATCCAGAAATGTGGAAATGTATAAGGAACAGATACACGCACATATTGATGTTTATTTACATAGAATATGGGGGGTTTACCCCCTCATGACCTTCCTCATGTCATCTTATATCAATGTGTCAAGTTTGGTGGTGATTGATCCAGAAATGTGGAAACGTATAAAGAACAGATATGAAATGATAGATAAACAACCGTGTATTTTTTTTTCCCGGACACACACTTTGCTTTATATAGTGGCTTCGTAATACATTCAGTAACTTTAGAGCACGTCTAAATATCCGTAATACAGTAAGTAGGTTTATAGTTTATCTAATTATCCATAATACTAAAAGTAACTATATCACGTCTAAATATCCGTGATACTGTTAATAGGTTCATAGTTTATCTAAATATCTGTAATACACTCAGTAACTGTACAGCATGTCTAATTGTCCGTAACACAGCTAGCAAGATCATATCATATATGTATTCATAATACTGCCACTGACTTCATAGCATATTTATACCTTATCTAATTATCTATAATACCATTACCAAGTAAATCTGTCTCTCGTAAACAGATGTGCCAAGAAGAATCTGGCCAATGATAAAATAATCCTAGAATGCTGGTAAATAGTCCCTGTTCGTGGTATAGTACACCAGAGCAAACTTCTGGATCCGTTACAAGATAGACATAAATTGTATATAGCCCATAGCATGCTAATACTCTCTTGTGGGTCAGATAATGCAACACTTGCCCTGTGTATTTACCTTTCTATCCCGGATGCCATATAATTACAATTTGCATTTATAAGTTTGGTTGTGCTTTCATAGGATTCACTAAACTTTCCTTTGTTTTTTATCAAGAAGAAATGTGTCTGTTTACATGATTCTGCAGAACTGGGGGAGATTGGTTACTGAAGGATTGCAGATGGCACAAATGTTATGGGGAAATTGAAACAACTACTTCCAGTGACACAGTGAATTAAAATATTTGTAAAGAGGAAAGAAGACAATTTACTTTAGAGAGCGATTGAGAATATATTTGAGGCAAATTTTTCCAAGAATGACATGAGAAATGGGAGCATTTCGTGAAAGAGGACGACAGTTTCTTGTGCTCTAGCCACCTAATTTCACAAAGTGGTTTCATATTTTGCTTTTATTTGCAGACGATTATTTGGAAGCACAAAAAGCAGACGATTATTGGAATTACGAGATACAAATGCGGTAATTCACGCGACAGCGTAAGTGAATTATAAACGGATATTATTGCGATAAAAATATAGAAAAATAGTTCGGCTTGTCAACTGAATTTAAAAGCAATTGAATAGGCCTAAGTGGACTTTAGAAAACAATAAGAGAACTGTATAGTGTTTAAGATACAACTATGATCTCCATAATGTAAAGACTTTTGTATATACTTGTTTCTAATATATCTATTATTTTTTAAAATAAGAAGTGTGTGCTGTTCGTTTATTATCGAATCTATCGCCAAAACAAGTCACAGACACCTACTATGAAATATCCTTAGTCTAACACACCCATATACTTACATCACTATATATACTACTAAAAAAGTAAGTTTCTAACAATGAACTATGTGGTGTGTATGGTTTTGGTATGTGAGTAGCATAATAAATGTAAAATACGAGAAGCTTCTTTTCTTGAATTATACCTTGAACGCATCGATACCTACATGACCTATTGGCACATCCATCGTAACCTTGACCTCTAATGGAACATAGTTGAAGAGTGAACTTTTAATCAATAATACCTTTAAGAAATTCTATTTCATTGTTTTAAGTACTTATGCTTGTCAAAGTAGCCTTTTTTGGACTTGTGTTTAAACGCATTTCGAGAATCTGGTTAGCAGCATCAGCATTATGTTGTAATGGGTCTCTAATATTACCTTCACTTTGATAATTTAGATCCTAAATTTCTAGCATTTTCTTTTTTTAAGTATAATTCCCCGTCACAGCATTGCTCCCTTAGTGTAACATTTTGCCTGCGACAAAACAATATTGTTTTCATATTGAGGACAAGGTGCTTGCAAGTTCACACAACCGTCTTCTTTCATTGGTCATTAAGCTGATTTCACACATTACCAATGTTCTTTCCAAGTCATTTTCGAAACTATTCTGATTTTTATGACATACAATTGTGCGAATTTCTTCTTTGATGATTACTAAACTCGTGAAGTGCATTATTGTTTCTTTTAATAGTCGGTATACAAAGTTTTGACTTCCACAGCAAGGATGCAGCTTCCTTGATCTTTAAGATTCTAAATAAACCGTGGATTTGTAGGTCGCTTCTTCTTGTGGGACAAACCAGTTTTCACAAAATGTACATATATTCAACTTTTCACTGTCAATCAAAATGCAATTCTTAGACATACTCATGATGCACCTTATTATATTTGATTTTCGTCTGAGGTAGAAGACGTTTCAACTGAACTTGAAATATTGAGGTTTCAATATTGATTGTTTCACTTACGATTTCCCATTCTGAATATGATAACTACAAATTTTTCTACTTTCTGTCAAATATTTGACTGTTTAGATTTTTTACTGTGTATTTGAACAATGAAGTAACTGAAGCTTGTTCTTTTTTGATAAACATTTTCACATTTCGCACAAATAAATCCAGCTAAGTGAGTGATCGATTACATTGGTCGACAAAATCGAATCTTTTTTCTCTCATCAAATGAGTAAACACTTTTCTAGACCAGTTTAGCAAGCTGATTCCACATCTATTTTTGGTCTTCTTCTAACATATCTAGTTATCGAAATATGAATGGTGATATTTCCAGCACAATTTAAGTAATAATTTAGGCTAGTTAACGTTACAACTTTATTAATTTTTCAGTATAATTCTGATAAATTATACACTCCATACACTTGGTTAAATTTATACAGTACACACTTATGAAAAAAGAAATGTACAAAAACTTCAATTAAAATATAGGCAATAAACTTTCAAATTTGATCTGTCTCATCACAAAAATTTGACGTGCAAAAAGCCAAAAACAGATTTGAAATCAGCGTCCCAACAACTATCTAGCCCACCTATAATTATATCTGACGAAAATGATTTGTTGGCCAGTGTTATGAATTAGATAACTCTTCGCATTCATTTCTAGAATGTTCTTGATTTCTCAAGACGATTACTTGTGTATTCGATGAAAACTCTTGAAACTCATGGAGAGTAGATTAGTGATTAGTTATTTGACCGCCAATGTCTCGTGTGAGCGTACATAAACTTTTTTCAATCACTAGTACTGCATCCGAGCGAGAATGAAAAAGTAGCAAATTATAGATTACAAGCCTTCTTAACTGAAGTTAAAAATTAAACAGCTTATTAACAGCTGGTTATGCCTGTATATTTTCTGATTTTCATAGTGTTCGAACGTTGAAGATACTATAGCATTAGTTAATAACTATCATTCTAACACTATTTTCAGAAGATGGAATAAGTATATTACGAAACTTTCGAACCTTTTGTAAATCCAATCATATATCTCACCTTTCTGTTTGACCAACATTGACTGCTTTGCCCGTCTGACCTTGGTATAAGCCGTAGATATTCTCTTCTTCCTGGTCATTCAAACAACTAGAAGGCTAGATAATAAAACATACAACTTTCAAATGATTAAAGTGCAGCTGCTTATTAAGTTACAAGAAGAGTGAGAGAGACATATTAATAAAAGATAGAGTAAGGAACCAAACACTAATGTTAAATAAATTTATCTTTGTATAATACACCTTCATTCACATGAACATAGAAAAAACAACAACGTAGAAACCTGAAAATAAAACTAATTGTCATAACCACTAACTTCATAACATATTTTATCAAATCAATCCTTACTCCATTCATTCAGGAAATGTTCTCTATCTTAAAAGAAATCATTCTGTTTCAGAAAACGCGCTCATCAGATATAATTTGTTCGACCAACTAGCTCCTATTTATTTTCTTGTTAAAATGTTATACTAGTCATTGAAATTCGTGCATTACAGAGACTCACTTGCCGTATGCTTGGAAAGCCATACTAGCCTTTTCTCCCTCGTAAGTTGAACGCACTACACACCAAAATCTTTCCTTGCTATTAATTTATGTTGCTATACAACTCACTAATACAGAAACATTTACTGTTTTAAAACCCGAATTTACTTCTTGTGAAAATAACGATGTAGGAAGATGACTTTTCTGCAACAAAGACATATTTCTGTGATCGAATCATATATTACACGTACGAGCGACGAAGTTTGAAAAAGTTTGTTTTATTTATTAAAAGGAAGGTGTTTTAAAGTGGTGTGTAACTTTGTGCTTCAGGATCAATCATATTCTAAAAATCAGACATTTTTAAAATGAAAATTTACTTTTAGAGAACTTTCGACTTTTGGTGGCTCATCATTCTATCACATGCATGTAATGAAAAGTTTCCCACTGTAACAATCACATTCTCGCCTAGATCTAAAATATATATATATATTATTTAGATTAAAACCTTAGTAGGGAACGTCAAAATCATGCTACTTGTAATATAAATCACTTAGTAACTCGCAAAGCACATTCATAAAACTTTAAAAACTATTGTACTGAGCTAAAGATACCATTTACTGAATATTTCAAAGAGTGTCAAATTTCGACGTTAGAATATTATTCTAATGTAACTGGTTGAAAGACGGTTTACAACAGCATCATCAACAACAAAACTTACTGAATACTTTCCTGGTTTAAAAGAAGCTGTTGTCCTTTGCTTGAAATTTCCAAGGTCCAGCTTTAAAATCAAAGCATAAACACATATAAATGATTGGTTTTTAAATAATATGAAACAGTATGAAATTCGCTTACAGAACATTTCCAATTTTGGATCAATATATGTATATATGTATACATAAAGCAAGAACAACTTCGGAGTAAGGTTAAACCTAAATTCTAACACGCGATTTATCATTTTCGACAGTTCTAAAAACAAAACAAAACAAAAACAAGATCTGGGATTAGACTTACACCGAAAACTTAGATACGTTAAAAATATTGTATACTTTATAGATTCGTTGTGAAGTTAACTTGTTCATGGGAGGATGTTATCCTACAGGAAACTTTTTTGTATACTAATTATTTTGGGGTTATCTACATGCTCCTGGTGACTTGGGAATTGTTGTACCTAAGATTGTAAACAGCAGCATGTCTGCGGAATTACTACGCTAGTAACTGGGTTTCGATACCCGTGGCAGGCAGAGCACAGATAGCCTATCGTGTAGCTTTGTGCTTAACTTCAAACAAACAAATAAACAAACAAACAAACTCTCAACAAAAAAACAATAATAATAATAACAAGCACGACTTCTAACTAACAGGGTTTTTCCCATTACGAGTCGACATTGGTGCAAGGGCGACGAAATATGAGGGTCGCCGAAGCATTTTGGCATCTGGAGAGTCTTGGTGGGGGAGTGTCTTTAAAGAACTCCCTGACCACCACCACCAGAGTAGAACCCCAGAGCTGGTAAAGGTAACCTAACTAGAGTTAAAGAAGCAAGGAAATTATGTTTATATTTATAATGACTTGAGGAGGCTTATTTCTTTTAGTTTCTTCATTGATTTATTCCTTGGTATCATAGTATTACGGAAGTAACGAAACGCTTCAAATGGTTACAAGTATACAGGGTTCTCATCAAATGGTCACAAGTATACAGGGTTCTCATGAAATGATCCGTAGATTGCAGGTGTTTAAAAATGTAATCTACTAACGTTCAACCCTGTTACTTAAACAAAAATATGTTAGGATCTTTATACAATAGGTGTTTCTAAACAGGGAACATCTGAGGTTCGATGGTAAAGGAGACGTTTTTTATACTGCAGATGATTATGAAAATAAATTACGTAAAATATTAGGGTAGTATGGCACATGGTTCTCTTTTCTGTAGTATTATTAATAGGTTGTCAAGAAATTAATGTCGCTTTTTTTAGATGAAAAAACCTGAACAACTTATATATCAAAACAAAAC